ACTGAAAAACAATCTCAATTCAGCAGTGTTCTGTCTCATGACTATTTGCTCATGAGCTCACCATGGTAACCCATCACACCAATTAGGAATTTTTTTTGATTATAAATTTTGGAACCACGGTTCCGGAGAATCTGACGTAAATACGTCTTTGTATTTAAATTATATTTAGGCAATAAATACAATGAAAGGAAGTTTATATATTAGCTTGATAACTTGCAATTATTGCTTCTTGCGATTTCTATATTCCCTCAGATTTAAAGGTGGCACTGGATCTTACACATCTTCGTAACTAACGCTGTTTTTGCCGAATGACCCTTCCGTATAGACGCATTTATGTCAAAAGAAGACAAGCCTAATTCTCTTACACGAGTTCACAAATGCAGATGAAAACATTAAATGTTATGAACAATAATAATAACATTGAACAACTCAGTTTGCAAAACATGATTGCAGATATGAGTTCTGTCCAGAACTCATTATTTTAAAGAATCATTTAATTATACTTAATGTCAAATTAAATGAAAACAATGTTGGGTATCCTCATTGTTATTATTCGTAAAAATATTTTGATAATGGTATACATTTAGTGTTACCAAAAATTAATTGGTTCTTGGTCGACTGCACCAATAATGCATATGTTACCTGTTACAAGGAATGTCATGGTTCTTGGGTTGTCATTGAATATTATGGCCAGTTTGTGTTTATCAGTGTGTCATATGGGTTGATATTTTCTATAAATATGAATTAGAAGTGTAGTGCCACACGACGACTATGTAAATGGATTAAATCTATCTTGAAACCTGTACTATTTATTACTTTTTTTGAACTTCTACTGCGTATTTCTAAGTAGAGGAGGTCACAGTTGTGATTTTAGATGTCTGCCCATTTAGACCCTTCACTTGACTTGTAACGAATAAGTAAGATCCAATGTATGAATATAATTATGTGATGGAAAGTAGGGAAGTAGTTTTAGTTGACCTTGATTATCAGTATGTATTATAATTACCAATATTTTGGAAATGGTAGATGGAAATTGAGCAGAATTTTTTCGGTAATATATTTTTTAGACACTTACAGTTTCCATCTACCTTCAGACACTGAACTCCTTGCCCTTAACTCTGTTTTCATCAAATTTTCTTTGATATAATTCTTGATGTATTGGAGCCAGAAGAGCTTATAATTTCTCTTTTCATAGCTGTAATTGCTATTGTACTCAGTTTTCTATACATCAGAATCATAAATATTACCAGAATCAGATTTCTGGGTACTTTTGTTTGTGCACTAGAGCATTTCACAGTTTTAAAAATTGAGAGAGGATTAAGGAACTTCCATGCTTATTAATATGTTTAATTTTATATGGTGATTTTGGTCTAAATTATTTATTTATTTTTTTGCTAATACTAGAATAATTTATCCATCATACGTCTATGTATTCCAACTTCTCATCTACGTCTATTCTGTAGGTAATTATAGTCCATTCTGCACTAGGCAAATATTCAAGCATTTGTCTACTGTTTGATGTGTAATATTTGTTTCTTTGGGCAATATGGCCACGTCTATAAGATTCAAATATCTGATAACATTAACTAACAAACAACCAATGATCACAATACTATATTTGTATCATAAACCCGTACTTTTGATATATTACATATGCAGTTATGTGTTTCTGGTGTGTTGTGGTTTAAAATACACCATAGACAAAAACATATGATGTATTTTTTACAATTCCAGGCAATTCTGATTTACAGAGGGTCTTAAAACAACTTAATTAAGTCTGCATCACAATGTCAGTGATAGCAGTGTGAAGGTAAAGTTATAGTCATGTGTAACAGTCAGAGGTAAATAAAAAATTAGACGAAAAGACAGTTTGTTTATAATTACACTGAAACAGCCACACCACAACTGCTTCAAAATATTTTCTTAAGATCTAGTGAAGGAAGAAGACAAAACAAAAGAAAGTGTAGATGGCTGTCTTTTTGGTTATAGTGCCATCTAGTCTAGTATGTTACCACTGTTTCAGATGTGCTTGCTGCCTTCATCATCAGGTTGATGATGATGGAGGCACCAAGCACCTTTAAAATATCAGTAAACTACCAAATCACATGCACAACAACCCAGAAGACAGCCATCTTTATATCTGCTGCCATGATAACCTCACAAATGAAATGTGGCAAATGCTTTTAAGAATTTGATGTATTTATATATCGCTCATGAATTAGGTGTTTGGTAATAAGGGCAGTGTTCTGCAACCATTTTTCACCCTTAGCACACCATAATTTGTCAAAGACACATGACATACCACAAAATTTTGACCCATGAAAAGAAGGTACAAACTAGACATGGCCATAGATATATATCTGCATGTAAAATACTTTTCCTGTAAGAATGCAGGCATATGAAAACAAAACATAACACACGTTAAATAAAATTATTGATGATGAACCAATGAGTTCATGTGAATATATATAACTAAGTAATTAGATGGCTTACTGAACCCGAAGGTTTATCACCGAATTAACCAAAGCCCTCCACCGGACCCTGTCCTGGGCCAAAATTCAGTTTCCTTCAACTCCTATCTCCCATAGATCCCGCCTGAGATTATCCTCCCATCTACATCTAGGTCTCCCCAGAGATCTCTTCCCCTCAGGCTTCACAATTAGTGGACCCAACCAACTAGATGGCTTACAAAACCCGAAGGTTCATCACCGAATTAACCAAAGCCCTCCACCAGACCCTGTCCTGGGCCAAAATTCAGTTTCCTTCAACTCCTATCTCCCATAGATCCCGCCTGAGATTATCCTCCCATCTACATCTAGGTCTCCCCAGAGATCTCTTCCCCTCAGGCTTCACAATTAGTGGACCCAACCAACTAGATGGCTTACAAAACCCGAAGGTTCATCACCGAATTAACCAAAGCCCTCCACCAGACCCTGTCCTGGGCCAAAATTCAGTTTCCTTCAACTCCTATCTCCCATAGATCCCGCCTGAGATTATCCTACCATCTATGTCTAGGTCTCCCCAGGCTTCCCGACCAATACCCGGTGCACACCTCTTGAACAATTCATGTGCACTACATGCCCAGCCCATCTCATTTTTCTTGACTTAATCACCCTGACAATACTGGGGAAGGAGTATAAATTTGTAAGTTCATTATGCAGTTTTCTCCATGCCCCATCGTCTTCTCTCCTAGACCCAAATATCCTCCTCAACAATGAATTCTAATTATGAAAGATAAGATATAAAAATTCACAGCATGCCTGAAACATTATGGTGACATAGGTGTCAAGGAGAATATTTGGATATTTGAGAGAGGAAACATCTTTACACTTGGAAAAGGTTCTTGTATTAATTTTTTCATTTGGACTGAAATTAAGGTAACTTAAAAGTCACTGTCTTCTTCCTTAGATGCGACAACTGTCCTAACCAGAACAGTAATAAATAGACATTGTATTAATTTATAAAATAATGGATGGTAGGCTTTGGTGTTGGTGTTGAACCTGTGGGTTCTGCTACCAGGGAGTTAGTTATGGATAACAATATGTAACGTATGTCCATATTGCAGTATGCTGGTTGAATTTCAGGAGTTTGTGGTCATAGGAACATACTATTGTAGAGTTCATAAATTTTTCTGACTCATTTTTCAGATCCATCAGAATTGGCCTGAATATGATGTCAATAACATACATTATTTACATAATAGTATATTTACACAATATATTTTCTTTTAAATACTTAAATTTACATGGAAATCTGATACTAATCTAGAAGCTGTATCTTCTTGAAAAATTAGGTTCTTTGGAGGAAAGAATTGCTTCTTAGAAAACTGATACCTATACTAAATCTTGAAATATTATGCAAAATTACATTAAAATTCACATTTGTGGCACAGTTGAAATATCTACACAATTATGAATATTATACTTATTTATTTGAAAATTAATTTATATGTGTAGATATCAGTCTTACCTTAAATAACAGTTTCCATGATACAGCTCTTCAAAAGATGTAATATCTATACATTGTTTTACTATAGTTAATTCTAAAGTTGCTTTTAAATATATGTCATTCTTTAGTTTTATGTAAAGCTATAATTTAATTTGATACTTGGTTCTTTAACAAATTCGTTGTCTGATTCATATCATGAAGTCTAGATAAAATTTATTTATCTGACTTTCCTAATAAAACTTCCTTTTGGTCATATAATTCAAAATATGAATTAAAAGACATACCCAAGACTTTATACTTGAGTTGCGTCACAATGATATTTTAATATTTCGACGTATGGTTCTAGTTACATCAGCAGCAAGGTGAAGACAGATATTTAAGAAGTATAATAGAAGATTTAAGTACATTAATGTATTGTAGATTATGAGATCAAATTCTACATATAAGAGAAGTTTTCTATTGTAATTTAAGAGTAAAAATACAATACATGTTCTTCATCAAAATTAAATACTATTATTATTATTATTAGCGATTTCTTCAGTTTCTGAACGTATAAACTGAGATTCCCATCAGCTATTATAATGTAATCTAATGCAGACGTTATGTGTTTAATAGTTGTATTCTGTTGGGTACCTCAGAAAATTATTGCAAACTTTACGAATTATCATTTTTATATGAGACAGAGCCCTTTACTGCTCAGTAGAATTCAGCTTTATTTATTATTTTCCTCAAAATTCTATTTCATAACTACAGTCACAATCAGATATTGTGAACATGAGTAATCTCGTTACAGACTCTCTCTAAAACATCAGTCAGACGCATTCATTCATACATGTGCACCTCCAAACACAGCGTATCTGTACCATTGTTATATGTTAAGTGTTTGTATGTCTGTATATTTTAAATGAATATTGTTACAACAAGCATATCGTTGTGGCATGAACACGGTTAATTTGTCTTATAGACTATTTGCATTTTTATACAAAATCGTGTTTACAAATTTCAAGTAATGTTATATAATTTTTACCAATGTTTTATTTACTGGTACTTCATATTTCCCCCCCCCCCCCCCCCCAAATTTGAAATCATTAAACTTTGTTATAAAGAAGGATTTATTGTCACACAAAATAATTCTTCTGTGCAATATCTTTGAGGAACAAAAGTGTTAATATTACACGTCAGTTTTGGGTGGCCGGTCGTATGTTTCTTTTAACGAAACCCGGATACTTACATTTTACTTATTGCAGAATGTAAACATGAAATTCTTAGTCTGTCTTCCATCCATATGAACATGCTAGCAGAATTTTTCAAATTAATAATTGTACAGCTTAGTGTCTTTGCATCAAATATTTTCTAGTATAGAATTACAGTGGCTCAAAAATCTGGTGTTCCTCTTATAAGAGATATATTAAGTTCAATATTTATAGCCGTCAGAGGTTATGTTCTGAAATATTGGTTTGCATCCAAATAATTTTACTCGGCAATGTAACTACTTGATATTACAGTTCCACTAAAGAATGTAACATTCGATGTACATTTTTAATCAACCAGGTAGCACTTCAGAAAAACAGAGAATGCCCAAAAAACATTAAATATTAAATCTTACTAGAATTTGTAAGTAGATAAGGTACAATAAACATGTAATGAAATTTATGTTGCAAAAACAACATATAGTACATATTTTACTTTGAAAATGTTATCTAGATTAAATAAATACAAAAGATGATATAAAAGTAAGCATTTTCCTCATATAGAGCTCATAAATTCACATAAATAATGAACACAACATTCACAATGTGAATGAAATGTTTATCACCTTTTATATGAATATTACAGGACTATTTATGAGTGAAAAGTCTTTTTCTATCATCTCACTTAACACAATAATTTTCTTTATATTATTGTGGATATAGGCAAATAAAGGTTATTGATTATTATATTATATATGAGAAGTTGAATAAAACATTAATTAAACAAGTGTAACTAACCAAAATATTGTTTAAAAACTTTCCCGTCTATAAAGTTCACGCCTTAGATTGTTGTTTTATGAATCTATAAATATATAATATTAATTACATTTTACTCCCTGAAGTAAGATAATAAAGAAATTAATTTATTTGTTGTCAGTGGTATTTTAATAAAGAAGAAACAAATTCTAAAAAGGAACTAGAGTAATATTTATGCACTGACTTTGATTTCAAAGATGTTTTAGTATTTGTTGCTGAATTCTGTACTGTCACATTTACCGAACATTTATTAAACCGAGAATCTGTACTGGTCATCATTACCATATTTATTTTAACATGTTCCTTAGGAAAAATATAGTACAAGAATCTACCAGCCACGAAACTTAAACAGAACAAACTATATGTGGAATTTAAAACTAGCCCGAGTACATAATTTATTTCACCGTCTGAATGATATATATATATATATATATATATATTTTTTTTTTTTTTTTTTTTTTTTACAAATTTGTGAATGTAGTGACATACAACATAACTTTTACTGCATATTCTGGTGGTTTTTGAAAATTACAGGAATGGCAAGAAATAGTGATTTTTTTTGTAACAGTAGTTTGGATCATGAAAGTGTATTTCTGATCAATTCTTGTATTCAGGTTAGATATTACAACTTATATGTAGGGTAAAGTTTTCACATATATCAAATCATACTAAGGGTTAACATTTTAAAGGTAATAATTTGTGTGTTACATCCAACCCAGTTACCGTTGCACGTGCAAGTTAGCTGTGACTTGGATGGTTGAAGTAACTTATTCCTTACAAAAATTGCAATGTATTTCTTTAATTAGAAACAAATTTGTTTGCCCTACTTATGAGTTAATATCAGTTTATTCCTTCTCAGTGCGTACTGAACATAGGATGATAATGTCTGGTATGCAATACTGAAAGTTAATTACACTCGCCTCACACTACTGGTGCTGCTAGGATACCATGAGGGTTGGCGTGAATGTTTAGCCTTGCGTCTCCAGCCCACGTTTCTTTCCGATAATGAATATTGCGCATTAGTATAAATAAAAATTCAGTTTTTATAATTTTACATTCGGTTTGCATGATATAGGAGAATATGATACCAAATGTACATTGTCAGCACAAAATTTATCATTTAACTGACAGTGACGACTAAAGTTGTGCCATTCTCATGAGGCATTGTATCAGGAAGTGTCTTGAGTGGTCACATTGTCGACTTCACTACACACATCCATGAACCATTTTAAATGATACCAAGTATTGTTCGTAGCATATTACAGCCATGAATATAAACACACACATTTATTTATTTTGTTTTCTCTTTCAGTTTTTAGTTGTTTGTTATATTCTATTTTAAGCTATTTATCTTTATTTTTTATTCATTTAATTTTCGATGCCCCAAAGCCAGTAAATAACTGCTGTCAAAATTTTCTTGGGAAGTAGAGGGCACTGAATATGTGATTTCAGGCTCTTATGGCAGTGGGTATAAAGACTACTGTATTCTAGGATATTACGCTGTGCAGTCTGGTAGAAGTTCACTGATGTTTCAGAGGTGTTTACTGATTCTATCATCAGGGCAGTGTTTCATAACCCTGATGATAGTGGCAGTAAGCACCTCTGAAATGTTTGTAAAATTCTACCAGATGACATGGAATAGCATTCCAGAGGACAGTCATATTTATAGCAGTAATTGTGCTTACAAAGTAAGTTCCAGCCTTTTCTCAAAATCTAAACAAAAGAACATTTAAATTTAATTGATTTGTTAACAAATATTGCTGTTCCATACATGCTTGTAGAGGCTTGCAGTGTTGATCAAACATTGTTGAATAATTTTAATTGTAATGATAACATACAGTTTTTGTTCATAATTAGAAATAAAATAAGCATTATGTAATGTAGTTCCATATTTTTTTTATAATGGTATCATTATGTAAGAGGATGCTTCATGGTTATTATCCACTGTCTGGTACAAACATAACCTCAATTGCAAGATTCTTACAATCTAATACTACCAGCCAGATTATACAGGATTAAATGTACAGCTGCTAATAACTCACATGCCCCTTTGAAAAGCTGGTTATATGATGGTGTTGTTAAGGGAAAATTTTGTAATTTTGCAGCATATCGCCACATTCCTGAGTTAGCACTGTGCAACTTTGTATGCCCTAACATTGTCCCTAATTCTGCAATCTTAAAAACAAATTTGAAGGCCATGAAAGGTTAAAGGAAAGTTGGAGAAATGTTGCAAAAATGGGTGGATTTAACTATTCTTGAAGTTAAATTTAATATTCAAGAGGGATTTATGGTGGATAAAGTGGCACTGGAGCCAGTTTTTCATGGCTAATCATCATTTTGCTCCATACTTATGTGTCACCACCCCAAGAGGTGTATAATAGCCCTGACCAGGCAGCATTTTGCCATATTGTTTGACCTGAGCTAAGGGATTCATCTGAGACCCGGCATTTGCCTTTAAAATAACATTGAGAATCTGTACATAACATAAAATCTTTTTCTTACTGAAGGCTTAAGTTTTTGTTAGATTCTTTTAATCAAGAAAATACTTAAATATGTGTATCTATGAGTCAATGTCTTGTTGTATTTGGCAGTACCGGATTTTATCAGAATAATTTCCTGTGTAGGTCTATAAGGATGGAAACTAATATATTACGTTCAAACATTGTTGTGGAAAATAATAAGTAATTTATTGACTGATCCATTTCAGAACTTGACACTTCTTTAAAAATATACAGCATAACCCCTTTTTATTATTACATTTAAATGCAGTGAAGCTGAAATGGAATATTACGACTGACAGCACTTTTGATAACACAGCAGTGACTCACTGAAGATTATTTCTAAGCTAGTTTCATTATTGATTGTTGATGAATAGTTTTTCCTTGGATATGAATCATATTGGAGAATTTAGACACGCCTCTAAATATTTTGATGATAATGTAATGTAATCTGGAGTGTTGGGTTTCCGGACTTTGTCTGTCGTCTGATATAAAATTACACGTTTTGAGGGCTGGATCTGCCCTTCCTTGTCTTTAGGTATCGTGAAGGGGAAGGGCATCTATTCTGTGGAGTGATAAAATGAGCTAATCCAGTGATTTAGATTAGCTCATTCAAACCGATCCCACAGGATAGATGCCCTTCCCCTTTCATATACGTAAAGGAAAGGGCAGATCCAGTCTTTGAAATGTTATGTAATTTTATAATATCAGATGAAGGAGAAAGTTAAAAAACCCAGCAATCTTAAATGGGTACTTTTTAATTGCTACGGTTAATTACGAAGCTTTCAAATAACCAGTCTGTTACTGTTTAAAAAGAATAATGCAGTTTCAGCAGTGCTGAGAATTTGTGGATGTAATAGTAGCTCCAGTGTGTGAGTATAGTTTAAATAAATTCTTTATTAACTATTTTGTAATAAAGACATTAAAATATTAATTGATAGGGGTTCAGTTATACACTGAGAAATCAAAAAACATGCATGAGGCTGTATTTAACAATTTCAGTACATTTATAAAGACAAGGAACAGAGATTAGTTTTAACTTTCAGTACCATTCGTCTCATTTGTGCACTGATTAATATATCTAGATCAGTCTATTATCAAGAGCGACCTGGGTAGTCAAATGTGGCCACACCGTACTACATCGAGTAGGAATCATATATCTTTTTTATTGCAAAATTCATGTCCCAGGCCACTTATTGTTGACAGAAGAGAGATTATATATACATCAATTCCTGTAGTTCTCAGACTTACAGATTCATCATTAACAATTATTATTTTATAGTTACTTTTCGTATCTTAAATATTAAAATTCAACCTTTGGGTAGCAGTGGCATGCGGTCAGTGATACCAGATCAAGAGGCATGGAAGAATAGCATAATTTTTAATATGTATAGTGGTTTTCTAGGGAAGTTTACTATATTGAAGTTACATACAGATTTCTTAATATTCGATCAATCATAAATAAATATATATTTCTTTCCTTCTAACATTCGTATATGAAAGAAAATTGCAACAATGAGATTTTATTTTTCCCTTTACTATGATATTCTTGTAGGAGGATTCTCACAGAGGACTGTACTTATACCATATTTTATTTTTGGTCTCCTTAATGTCATAGCTGAACCTTCGTATTAATTCACTTTTGTATTATTACTATAAAATTTTACATCTGTAAAGATATATTAATTAATTTCACAAGATGGATTTATTTAATAAACTCTTGTGTTAAGAGTAAAGTATGCTTTTGTCCAAAGTGCTATTTGAGTTAACCATTATCACAGTCGACAAGCCACTGCTTCTATACACTACTCAAAAACAAAGACAAGAAAGAACTTTTTTGGGATTTATAATTACAACCAAACTCAATATGTTATCGCATTTCCTTCACAAAACTTGCATCATATAATCGTGTTCGAAGTAGTTAAATGCTTTGATTTCATGTAGCTCCTTTCTTGAATCTTGGATGCACTACTAATGTGGCAGACGCAAGCCGGCGTACCATTCGTTTTAACTGTATTGAGCTAGGAAACCACCCACTTGCTGACCACGAATCATAATATACCGGCTGTCGTGTGATGCAGTCATATGACAACCTAAATGCTTTCTGTTTTTACAGTTTTTCTTCTCTCGGTGTTCTGCACAATACCAAATCACACTTTATCAGAAAACTATGTAACGCCTGTCAATGTTGGTCTTACGGGTTGTAACTTGAACTTGTAGGTTCGTATCAAAGTTCCATAGGAACGCATTGCTGCCATCTTTACAGTGTTGCAACCTAGAAGCCCGACAATGCCATTTTTACCACAGTACGAACCTCAAATCTCACAGAACAGAACATATGTTTAATGTTGAGCTATTAATTCACATGACACTACACTTCTCCTTTATCTTGTTAGATCCAGGCAGTTTCTGACGACTGCTTTTCTTTGAGTCTAGTTGCAGTGAAATATTTCTGTTCTTTTCCATGTTGAGCAGTTCCTGGAATAATTCCTTCACATTGTGATTTGTTTTGGCTGAAGTTTCCATGAAGTTGCATCCCCAACGTGAAGCCTCACTCTCGCCTTCTGTTGTTGCCACCTGTTGAATAAACCAATTTCATATTAGTGAGATTTCAGGTTCTCGTGGTGGCGTCTTCTGACTCGTGTGTTGTATAGTCTGGTGGTTGTTAACTGGCATTTGAATTAGACTGTTGGAATATTTCGAAGTTATGTAAATTAGATCTTCCATTCTTGTTTTAAAATGGTTTTCTGACCTTACACTTAGGCTAGTGGAAACGGTTAATAAGTGTTCCAAGAAAGATGAGAGAAATTTCAACAATTATGATTTCAAACAAATTCTTTTGAAATATAGGAAGATATGTTGTGACACGAAGTGGCAAATCTGGTATGTAATTTAAATAAATAATATTAATTTAGTTATGTATTTTAACTGCTTTTCATAATCTTATTCATATGAAGTTCAATTATGATTGGTTTTATACCTTGTGTTGCATTTTTAAAATTAAATTATTTTATAATTTTATAAATGGCGCAAACATCTCTTAAGTAAATGGCTACTAATTTTTACAGCTACATCAGAAGTATGTGTTCTTGATAGTGATTTTACTTTACAAAATAGTGTTTGTGACTTCAACATAAGAAACAGAAGCATAAGTTGCAAGATAAATACAGTAGATTCCGAATAACTGGGCCATCGGTTAATCGGGGCAGCCATTTATTTAGGACAAATCTTAAATAACAGACCTTTTAACTCTTTACGTGGAACTTCGCATAATTGGGGCAGTGGCTTAATTGGGCCAAAGTGTTCTAGTCCCGATGTGTCCCAATTAACCAGAATTCACTTTATGTATTTCTGTAACTATTTGTGCCTTAATGATGTGCATTGAGACTAAAATTTATATAAATTAATGATGTCATTGTGCAGAATTTGTAAATGTATGTCAGAAGAATCTTAGCGGTGTATCCAAGACACAGGATGGCTGACGACATGAAGGAGAGGTAATGTGGATAATTATGGCAATGGAATGGGTTGACTAAGTGAAACTATTAAAGTTAGTAATGGTGATCCTATTAGTTTCAAGCTATTTATGTCTACTAAGATGTTTCTTTTAAGAAGCATTAAAGGCTGTACTCATTTGGATATGACGAGAATGATTAAATTAGAGAGAATATGGACGTACAGAGGGGCCCAAAAAAAATGTATACACACTTTAATAGATGTTATCTATGGACTTTTTTCGAAGATGAATCGAATTACGGTAGCAATGTGTAGTACGATGTTCTCTCAAAAGATGTCGTTAATCACATGAATGCTATTTTCCTCTCTTAAGAATGCGTTGTACGCTTGATCTGCTAACTCCTGTCTCACGTGCACAGTTTGGCAGACTTTTGTGGCGAGCGTGTAAACTGTTCCAACACCACAGCCGAGGAAGCAGGACTTGTTGCTGTGCGAGGCCTCCCGGATCTTTCCTTGTGCACATCACACGCGGTACCATGGGTTTCAAACTTATCACGAATGCGTGCAATTGTCAGGCGTGTTGGAGGTTCTGTTGTAAACTCACGCCTCTATTGTCGTACTTCGCACACACTCTCAGATTTAAAATACAACTTCAAAATGGTCTTGCGCTCCTCGAACGACATCCGTACTTCTGTCATTTTGTTGACTGTCTTGTCGGTCGCAAGGTGACTCTAGCATTCATGCGATTAACGACATCTTTTGACAGAACATCTTACTATATGTCCCGTTTCATTTTTGTTAATTTATTTTGTGTTTGTTTTTTTAAGAGGAGTCGAAGCTACACTGAAATATTATGCATACGAATGCACAGTATTTATTTATGAAAGTTAACTGGGGTAGCGCGAGGACACTGCTGAAGGTTTTCCCAGGGCACCAAACACTTGTGCCAGCCCTGTTCATATCCCAGTAAAATATTAATTATATATAAATAAAATCTTCTCGGGCAATCAGCCGCATCAACTGGTTACCGTAGTAAACCGACGTTTCGGGAACCAACTCTGTCCCCATCATCAGGGTTCTAATGTGATTTTATTAATTTCTCGCTGCAAAAGTCTCAAAATCTTATATTAGATAAAATTACGACATTCTGTATCACTGGATCTTTATTTAAATTTACGTATCTTAGCCAATAAGAAATGCGTAGCTGTTAAAAATAAGGATTTACTTTTATTATAATTCTGAAGCAGTACTAACCTCTCTGTTTTCTGTCTCGTCACACTTATTACCGACAAGCATGACCGGAATGGCGGCAAGGTCTGGACCCTTCATCTCTCGTATGACGTCCCAGATTGGCCTGAGTTCTTCCAGGCTCTGACGAGATGTGACAGAGTAGACGAGTATGAAGGCGTGACCTTTGGATATCGACAACCTCTGCATGGCGGGAAACTGGTGTGACCCTGTAGTGTCTGTGATTTGTAGTGTGCAGATGTTCTTATTACAGCTGATCACCTGTAGATAGACACACAGTACTCGTTGCTTTACTGACTTTTGTGTCAGTGGACAGAGACTGCAAACGTTTTTAAAGCGTTAGATTGTTCACGGCGACATAGCGGTCTGCTATAATTTTTGAATGAACAGGTTTAATTATTCACACAGGAATTTTTTATGGTTTATTTTAGTGATTCTGAGTTTAACGAAGTTGTTTTTTTTTTTATTTCACAGACGCATTAATACAGAAAGTAACTTACATGAAAGCATCTTAAAATGAGTCGAGCTAAAAAATAACGAACTTTCGCAAGAAATGTTTTAACACTAATTTTTTTGTTAAAATGACTTAAAAAAATTCATGGTAGTCGTATTGGTTTCAATGACGGCGAAAACAACGATACTTGAATTTGAAAGTATTGAACATTTATTATAATTTAGAAATTTTATTTTACGTTTATTTTGTAGGGGTGCCCACGAGAGAAACAACCTAAGAAATTCCACTGGGTTTGAACCGTTTAGATGGGAATCTGTCCATTTGTTTCTAGGTGCACAGAACAAGGAAATAGTTACTTCCATGTTTGTATCTTTTAGACCAGTAACAGTAAATCAACTTGTGATTTGTTTTTCAGCATTATTTTAAAAAGTCAACAGCCTACAAAAATTAAATCTGCAGTACAAGATCCTGTGTAAATAATTGCGTGATATTTGGTTGGAAAGAAATTTGATAAATGCCAGCATTTCTCTTGAGTTGAAAGTTTAAGTGTGTTCAGTATTCTTATTACACCGAAGAATATTTTAATATTTTCCGTCAAATCACAATTTTAATAAGATAATAAAATATAAAATATTTAAAATATCATTTCACGTTCCGCATCGAAATGATATTTTAAATATTTTATTATCTTATTAAAATTGTGATTTGACGGAAAATATTAAAATATTAACCTAACTCACAATATGACGCAAATATACTACCTTACACCGAAGAAATCATTGCAGTGGATAGGAATTTAAAACAGAAGAAGAAGAAATTACATTATCTCACTGGGACTAAGAATTTTCTTTGCTTTATAATGATTAATAATGTTTAATTATATTAGGTGCTTATGTCTACGTGTCTGTGTCTCTGGAGTGAAAATTTTCACTGGCATGTTTATGTATTTGAAAATGCTTCTATACATTCTGCCCCTTTCAATTTAATATTTCCGTAAATAATCATTTGATTTCTTAAAACTTTCCGCTATGTACCTGTACCATTTTGCGGTTTATGTCACTATAGTAACAGTCACAGAAAAATTAAGTTGGCAGCGCTGTACCGGTGACTCAGAGCTACGCGTCCTTCAGTGACCTTGAAACATGCAATATGGCGATGGCTACGATAATGAAAATGAAACTTCATACATATTTAAATAGAGTTTTATTAGTATAATGAATGATTACTTGACGGTATGTGTCTTCGATGGTGGGGATGTATGATTCTCGAAATGTTCCCTTCACAAACCGGAGCACTAGGGAACTCTTCCCCACACCACCTGCTCCGAACACCACTACACGGTAGTCATTTGACTGCTCCGGCATTCTGACACTGCAACTAGTGGCGCTTACAGCAACTGCAACACAAAACATTTAGTGACTAAAATGTTACTGCATTAGTGTTTCGTATGCAAAGGATCTTGAGTTTAATTCTCGGCCTACAGACAGGATGTCCTCCTGACTGATCATTTTCGTGTTTTTCCTCACTCTCACTGGTAAATGCTAGGAAAACACCTTAAAATAGGCCATGACCGCTTCCTCCCACGTCATATTTACAAATCATCCTGTCGTTCGTGCTTTTAATATCATACACTTATAGCCTTGTTGAATAAATCATAAATACGACAACACAAATTATTTCTTTAACTGTAGAATGACGAACTTTAAATCAGCAGTGTTATAACAATTATTTTGAACTCATCTCTTACTTTTAAGATGGGTTTCCCCTGTAGGCCTATTTTCAAACCAGCTTTGAATATTCATGAAATCGCTTCAGTCCAGCAACAGAATTTATGACTCTGTTTTAATAACCTAACGTATGACAAACTTTCTGTGTCTAAAGATATCCGTCTTCTGGGTTATTGCGCTGTGTAGTCTGGTCGATGTTAACCAACGTTTCAGAGGTCATACTACCTCCGTCATCAGGGCGATACTCACCGCTGTGAGAACCTCAAGTCTTTCTGTGTCTAATTACAGTAGTTAATCATTTATGGGTGCCATATTTAAAATGTTTTACAGGGTTACCAATTTATCTTACATTTTTAGAGCTATTTCCGCTTCCGTGTTCAGGATTTTAATATTGATCTCACCTGAAAAGTTGCGCATAACTGCCATGTTAGATTAGGTTTAAAGATTTATACTTTCATGACGTTGCTATAATCCTTTGTTAAACTTATTTACGTCTTTCATAGAAAATGTGGCTCATTATGAGGTGTCTAATGATGATTTAATTATGTTTACATAAAATGCAAAATATCGCAGTTAGGAACTTACTCGTTATTCAGTTTAGAATTTTGATATCCTGTTATGTATAGAAACTTAAATAAAAAATAGTTTACTTAAATATTACCTGTTGTTTTGTATTGGTGTGAAACTTTGCCTATCAGAACTAAGTGTTTATGAGCCTAAGAAAGGGGAAATAAAAGATGGTTGGGGAAAATTACGCAATGGGGAGCTTCATAATTTGCAATCTTCACGAAATTTTATAAGAACCAAAGAAAATAAGACGAGATGAACAAGGAATTTTGTACTCATAAGTAAGATAACAAAAGGTTACAGAATTTTAGTTGAAAAACCTAAAAGGAAGAGATCAGTTGGGAGAACTAGGCGTAGAAGGGTGGACGATATTAAAATGGAAAGTGAAAAAATGTAGTTTGTTCCGGATTGTCGGAAAGATAAATATTATAATTACGATATTTTGTGAACTTGGTGATGTACCCATTACATGAGGGAATTCCTTAACATTCTAAGTAACTTTAAAAGTTGTGGTAAAAATCTTGCATAAGCCTAAATAGCCAATTTAGACTAGACCGTGGACTCGGCAACCGGAGTTCGATTCCCGGAAGGTAAACAGATGTTTTTCTTTTTGCCAGATCGGCTCTGGGGCCTATCAAGTCTCGTCTTCAGTGGAAACCAGAAGCTCTTTTGCTGGGGTTAAAGCGTCTGGAACGTGAAGCTAACCACTCATTTCTATCACTTGTCATTAATTAGACATAACTTTCATAATCTGTGGTTCTATCAGCCCGTGAAAGACGCGGACAGACATCTATGCCTTGAGTGGGATTCGAACCCACGGTCCCAGTGTCCAAGCGGCACAAGCCGCGTTGAATTGGCTGCCATCTGTACCAGATGATCGAATCTCCACTGTCTAAATACTGTATTGATGTGTCTGAGCTTATCAACACGAATCCACTTAACAAAAAGGACGAGCATGCAATAGTCCGTATTAATGACAACATTTACAACAGGAGATACGCGGTCTCTCGCAATAGATAATTCATGTTGCAAATAAAAAGGTGTAATTCGTTTGACAGCCTAAAGAATATTCATCTTTATTTTAGTTGTATTTAATATTTAACCATTTAAACCAGTGGTTACTTTATGTACCACCAGATTTAAGGTTCAGTAACTTTGCATTTTTTCCCGCAAAGCGTAACTTCTTTATGGAATATTTACGATTCCCAGAATGAAAATCGATAATTTCCGTGAACAGCATTGATCGATTCCTATTTGTAGTGGAAACTTGTGTGTAGGGACTGAGTATTTACGTATTTAAGTATTATTAAGGTTAAGATTGTGCTTACAAGGGTTAAAGCGAGTATTATTAAATTCTCCTAGTAACTTATAACACAGCTTCCAATATCGAAGTGTAATCGATATTTTGTGTTCTGACACCTATGAAGATATCGATTGTTCTCTTCTGGCGTCGTAATCTTGTCATTTTTCCATTTCTTGACATTCTCGTTGGCCAACCTTCTTCCATATACGATACTTATATACGTATCTTTACTTCTCTCCTGAAGATGGATACGATATGTTCTTTCGAAACGTTGGTAACAACATAACCCAGAATTAACATAAGAGGTTAACGCTTTCTAGTTTCACCTGATGACGGAAGGAAAGGTAGCTTCCGAAACGTCGTGTTTTGAAAAATTCTTAAATTAGTAGTCGACGGAAAATATCCAAGAATGTCCATCGGGTTACTAATCTAAGTCCGGCGAGTAATTTTGAAGATACGGAGGGACAGATTTAGATAACCTCTTCATTATGATTTCGTTTAATGGACTTTATACAGACAACAACTACAAATATGGATGGTTTCATTCTTTTATGGATGCGGTTTATGCACGTTAGCTGGTTTCATGCGCAATTAAGCTTTGACATGCTCTTTGTATTAATTCAGTGTGAAATATTGTGCAATCAGGTTCTCGAGTGTAATGATCTGCTTAAATGTTAATATCTGCACGACGCTAACTTGGTCTTCCATATTTTGATCCAGAATAATACGTTTAAAACAAATAATTATTCAGAAGAAACTACGATATATTTTCTTAAATATACGTAAGCCACAGAAGTCAACATTTTTACAAAACAAATACAAATAAAAGTTTTTAACATGCACAGAAATATATTTATAAAGACGGTAATCGAAATACGTGTCACATCTATAGACGTGTATAATTTTAGAAAACTGTTGTATAATTTTTCCTTCATATGTTTAAGATTTTTTTTTAAACGTGATGGTTGATTCAATTAGACGCCACACCGAAGTTTCCGAGTCATTGTTGACTCATTGTGACATCTTATAGTAGTAATATAGAATGTTCTATTTAAACGTGAGCCTAACCACATGAATGTTTTGTAATCTTTGTTGACATCCACAGAACAAGCCAAACGAGTTGTCTTTTACCTTATATTTGTAAGGAAGAACTTATTAACAGCTTCACAGCAGATGCTAAAAATGCCTATCACCTTCTCGAAGACACTTTTTATTGTTTCATGTGACTTTGAAAAGTATGTCTGGGTCAGTGTTGGCAACAGCCTATTCTGTAGTGTGTTACAGTTCCTCCAAGACGTAAATCCACACAGAAAGAAATGCCCGTGAGTACGCCATGTTCGCATCCGAACTGCTTCTGCGCACTGGTGTGAGAAGTCGCGTAGCCACCAATGTGACCTTGACTCAGATATTACGAGGGAGGTTGGGAGAGTCTATTACACAGGGGCGCACCTGCTTTTCATTTTGATTTTTGCACTGAAATACGTAATTGTTAACGGAGTTGCGTAATAAATTATATATCCTATTTTACAAGAAAACAGTGAATGGATTTATTAGTGACAAGGGTGTATAGTTGTTAACATAGCGAACACTTTGTAGTAGAATCTGAAGGCCCCTCCCTGCCTATTTTACCCGATCTTGAGCTAGGTTACCCCACCCCATTGACACGACCTATTTCAACTTTCTTTCAACACTGACCTTTGAATTGAAACAGAGTTGTTAAATAACAAACATCAATTAAAATTGTGACTTTCTTCAAGATGTTCTGTTATTCTTTCAATATCTATGACTCACTTTTATCCCAACTGATATATAAATTTTACTTTTGTATCATTTGATGATTTTATTCGTCATTTATTCTTCTTTATCTTTCCATACCACATCCAATGGTACCAGGAGGAGGAGGGATCTTAAACCGCTGGGTGGGACGTGACGCTGATCACTCACCCCATCTAACGTTGAGGTGAAGAACGAGTAGTAGCTATTTCAACTTCCACAAAGAGTTTCAATGACGTATAGCGGGATGGCTTTACCTATTAGATGAAATCATGTGGCTGGCTTCACGCTTCGTCTGCGTTATCCCCTGTTGTCTGGCCGTAATATAGTCGCTATCATCGGCGTACACAACATTCTACTGAGGCAACATCTGAAGAAGGAAACTGGCTGTTACAGTGAGATAAAGCTGCAATTTAGTTCCTTGCAACGACAGCGCTGCCGTCACGTAGACGGTCTCGTCAGGAAACACGATGCTGTAACTAAGATGGCTCTCGAGAAACTGTGATGGACTCAGAAAGACTTGACTGGTTTTCGTCAAACTACTTTAAGAAATATTGTATATAAGTTTTATAAATTGTCGTAAAAACACTTGTTGCAAATGTTTTATTGATATCTTATGGAATGTTGGCCCGTATAGTCTTGTAGAAATTCTACGACCTTTCAGAGGTTCTTACTGCCTCAATCATCAGGGCGATATGAAACGACCACCTTCTACGAGACTATATCTTATAGGATGAAGACTTGCCCCAGTGAGATCTTCAAATCTCACTTTACATTTGATAGTTAAACGGACGTGAAATTCGTGATGAGAACTCTGGCCTGTAAGATTGTCCTTGACTGCGAAATAAATTTATACACAGTGGCGCAAGATAAGATACCCGATTGAAAGTTTGAATAAAAGCTTTAATATTCATATAATTATATTTATTTATTTATGAATACAAAGAGCAATTCGTGGAGATTTATCCTTTATGGATTACGTGCTTAATATAACCACCGTTATGTCGTGTACCTTCAGAAACACGACTGGACAGAAATTTTATCTTACATTTGAACAATCAAAGCCAGAAGTTGCACTATTTGGGCTGTTTTTAAAAAAAGTTTTTCCTTAATGTAGCCCCAGAGGAAGAATTCGCAGAGGTTTATGTCCGGGTTATTGGGTGGTCAATTCTGTTCACATCCATGGCGAGCAAGGGTATCGGTGGAGAACCACACGCCTCTGCCCTCCGGGTTGATTTTCTGGGACGTTTTTGCATGACTGCTATGACAGCTTCAACGTTCTGAGGGCTACGCACACTTACGGTAGAAGTTTACCAACGTTTCAGAGGCCCTCGTCTTGTTCCTGATGACGGAGACAGCAAAGACCTCTGAAACGTTGATAAACCTCTACTGAATACACGGTGCTAAAACCCATAATACAGCCATCATCGCACTCAGCCGTGAAAACCCCAAATCCTACAGTCCACGACTGTAATCTTGAGACTTGCCTTTAACGCTACGGACTTCCTGCATTCCTTGCAAGTCTCAAGATTACAGTCGTGGACTGTACATAAAATTGTTTATGTTCCCTGTTTTACCGCAAGTCTCCCCTTGTCGGCCATCTTCTGCATACTGGCGGTAAATTGCGAGCTAATCACCTGGCGTTAGCATATATCCCCTAACGGCATTTCCATGAACTATTGCTCTCACCCACATGACAAAAAAACTTCATCCGTTACGTGATACTGTTTTATCGTTACACCAAATTTCGTGCACCAGCCTGTACACAAACGCACAACAATTATGGAAAGTCATCGAGAGTTATGGAGCTAATTAGAAAAAAAAATCTGTTCTTTGAATGCCCGGTTCAAGACTTCCTCGTTGACTGGTGACGTAAGCTATACTCTGCTTGCCTATATAGCCCTCGTATGATGTAAACAGTCACGAACTCTCTCGGAGTAAAACGGCACTAATTGTTCAGACGAAATATACGAACAAAATGGACGAAGATCTTTGGGGAGACTCAAACGACACGGGGCTTTAAAATCACATCACTTCAGACGTCTCAGGAGTAAATTACTTTTTAATGAAGCAGAATGAGGTAAAGCAAGCAATATTCTTGGCTGGACATTGACCTCTAAGGGTCGACCATATAAATGTGCCATGCGCCAGTGACGTAATCTCTACGTAGCTAATGCAACGATATGAAACGACCACCTTCTACGAGACTATATCTTATAGGATGAAGACTTGCCCCAGTGAGATCTTCAAATCTCACTTTACATTTGATAGTTAAACGGACGTGAAATTCGTGATGAGAACTCTGGCCTGTAAGATTGTCCTTGACTGCGAAATAAATTTATACACAGTGGCGCAAGATAAGATACCCGATTGAAAGTTTGAATAAAAGCTTTAATATTCATATAATTATATTTATTTATTTATGAATACAAAGAGCAATTCGTGGAGATTTATCCTTTATGGATTACGTGCTTAATATAACCACCGTTATGTCGTGTACCTTCAGAAACACGACTGGACAGAAATTTTATCTTACATTTGAACAATCAAAGCCAGAAGTTGCACTATTTGGGCTGTTTTTAAAAAAAGTTTTTCCTTAATGTAGCCCCAGAGGAAGAATTCGCAGAGGTTTATGTCCGGGTTATTGGGTGGTCAATTCTGTTCACATCCATGGCGAGCAAGGGTATCGGTGGAGAACCACACGCCTCTGCCCTCCGGGTTGATTTTCTGGGACGTTTTTGCATGACTGCTATGACAGCTTCAACGTTCTGAGGGCTACGCACACTTACGGTAGAAGTTTACCAACGTTTCAGAGGCCCTCGTCTTGTTCCTGATGACGGAGACAGCAAAGACCTCTGAAACGTTGATAAACCTCTACTGAATACACGGTGCTAAAACCCATAATACAGCCATCATCGCACTCAGCCGTGAAAACCCCAAATCCTACAGTCCACGACTGTAATCTTGAGACTTGCCTTTAACGCTACGGACTTCCTGCATTCCTTGCAAGTCTCAAGATTACAGTCGTGGACTGTACATAAAATTGTTTATGTTCCCTGTTTTACCGCAAGTCTCCCCTTGTCGGCCATCTTCTGCATACTGGCGGTAAATTGCGAGCTAATCACCTGGCGTTAGCATATATCCCCTAACGGCATTTCCATGAACTATTGCTCTCACCCACATGACAAAAAAACTTCATCCGTTACGTGATACTGTTTTATCGTTACACCAAATTTCGTGCACCAGCCTGTACACAAACGCACAACAATTATGGAAAGTCATCGAGAGTTATGGAGCTAATTAGAAAAAAAAATCTGTTCTTTGAATGCCCGGTTCAAGACTTCCTCGTTGACTGGTGACGTAAGCTATACTCTGCTTGCCTATATAGCCCTCGTATGATGTAAACAGTCACGAACTCTCTCGGAGTAAAACGGCACTAATTGTTCAGACGAAATATACGAACAAAATGGACGAAGATCTTTGGGGAGACTCAAACGACACGGGGCTTTAAAATCACATCACTTCAGACGTCTCAGGAGTAAATTACTTTTTAATGAAGCAGAATGAGGTAAAGCAAGCAATATTCTTGGCTGGACATTGACCTCTAAGGGTCGACCATATAAATGTGCCATGCGCCAGTGACGTAATCTCTACGTAGCTAATGCAACCCACTATCGTCCTGATCAATTGAGGAACAGGTTGTGACGTCACAACACCCTCCACCCGCCCACACACACACACAAGCGGGAACCGTACGCCATCAAATCAATGTTTTGGTTAAAATTCCAGAACGAGATTAAGGGTCTAAATTAGGCCTGGCTGCATCCAAGAAGAACTACATATCTGATTTTAAATACGTCAGACATCTGACAGCAAATATGCGAGGTCCGTGGATACAAACGACCGGCGAAAAATACACCCACGTACATTACGATGCATAACAGAAGTTAGTGGGTATTTTATGTATGTTACTCCATATTTTATAATAAAACAGAAGAACTATTTTAAATTAGGTTTTGTTTATATGGCAATACGTAGGTTAACATTATAATATTTTCGTAATTTTCATTGTGATTAGTCTTAAAAGTCGTGGTTGGTTGGTGATTATTTTGAAGAACACTATTTTCACTACATTAAATAGCATGATGTTCTTTAATTAAGAAAATACAAGGAATTATTTTAATTTCTAGACTTCTCACATGTGTTATTTATATTCTGAAATTTTTTAAACGACAAATTTAATGAAAAACAATATTTTCTTTCATTCTGTACGGGGTTAATGAATTGTCCACGTGTGATATGTGGATTAATGGTCTGATTTATTGCGTCTAAAATTAATTTATCTTCTTACTTTTGACAAGAAATATTCGTATCGCAAATAATTAAAACTCTTAAATAGTATTAAAAATATATTAAAATTGGCCGTCAATCACAATATAAGATAATTAAAAGATTAAAATATCATTTTTCGTTCCGTATCGAGTACTCGATTTACAGATGGAACATTCTCGACATGTTTCGGCTATCATAGAGCCGTCATCAGGTGTTATGTTATAAACTTTTTAACTGAATTACTGATTTTTAATGCTTTTTAGTTTTCATTTTTCTTATCATTTTCTCGTCCTTCATATTGTATCTTCATCCGTTGTTGTGTCACATGTCACTAATATAATTGTATGTCGTAGTGACTTGTGACACAACAACGGATGAAGATAAAAT